TGGTACCTTCTTTTTGCCCCCTATGTATTTAAAAAAGGACTTCTTGTTGTCCTTAATCTGGGTAGCTAGTCCCAGTTCCATCTCATGCAGTTTGTGGCACCACAGACCACACACACCTCACATGTAGGCATTTGCAGTGCTGCTAATTTGTAGCACGGCAGGTTTTTTTGACACTGGAAGATCCAAAAAAAAACCAGGTGGTACATGTGGTGGCAGCATGCACCACCTGAAGCTGGAGCCTGGCCTCAGCCTCCTGAACCCCACCTAGGGCAATTTGCTATGCACCAGAGCATGCATGCATGGGTGTTCCCCTAGGACAGGCATCAGCAGCACATACTTGTATGCACATACAGGTATGTGCTGCTGCTGTTCGTTCCCAGGGAAACACACACACTCATCCGGATGCACCCAAAATGTCTCCAGTCCCACCTGCTTGGTGTCATCTGCAGAGTTCTTGCATGTTGTTTTAGCCAGTTCAGCTATCATAAACATACCACACAGTGAAAAGGCAACAAATTGACTAGAAAAGTAATTTTAGGAGGGCCTTTGAGGTATCTTTTTGGCTCTTTTAATTGAGTTTAGTAGCTGGAAACAAGAGTGAATACTTCCTGTGCAGACCGCTGTCCTTGGGCCATCAGCAAACCCTGCATAGACTGTGGCTTGGAACTGTCTGCAGTGGACCATACAATTCTTTTAGTCACTGATCCAATGAAAGTATGTTCAGCAGTTTCCAGAGTATAGAAGCAAGACCTCTATTATTAATTCAGCCAGATCCCCAGTGATCGGCAGTGGTAGCAGAGGTGCAAAGCTATGTCATTTCACAGAAATAAAGTTTCTTAAACAGTTGCATAGGTGTAATTTAGGCTGAGGAGAATACAGGGGTCACTAGAAACTCACTTCAGCTGTGTTTGTTTTAGGAGTTTATTTTATAAGCTGAGTTTCCAAATGTGTCTCTCTAAACCAAGTTGAAAATATTTCTCCAGCTGGTACCTTTTACCAGCTGTCGCACTTCAGTTAAATTATCCCTGAGTCAGTCCACTTAGAAAATGCAACTCCTTTCATGTCATTTTAGGGAAAATAGAGAAGATCAGGCCTCCACCATCCCCAACAGCAGAAAGTCCCCTCTCGCAACCTGACTCACTGCCTGATGAGGCTGCAGGATCCCAGCGCCCAAAGAATTTGATGCAGACCCTCATGGAAGATTATGAAACGCACAAGACTAAGAGGCGTGAAAAGATTGATGATAGCAGTGTAAGTATGCTCTTCCCTTTTGCTCTTCTGCGTGTAGCACTGGGTTGTCTTTCATTACAGGCCACGAACTGAGGTTGGGAGGACAACTTTTAGCCTTCTAAATGCCAGGTGTTCTTTTCAAAATGACTCACTGAGTAGTCTGAAGGCATTTAAGACAACTTATTTGAAAGGAGGAAAGAATCTATGTAAAAGTTAGAGACCAATCTACTACTGCTAAGCCCAAGCCTAACTGACCTGATCAACTTGTAAATCATTTCTTGCAGAAACATTGTGGTGAGCTACACAACAGCACTTTTTGAGGTATATAAATTGGGTCTGTCCAATACTGGTGTTCACTCAATACTTATTAAATTCCCAGAGTCCTTGTCCAGAATGCAATGGTTTAGCCTAAATGGATGGATTCCCCAAAAGCAATGTTTGCGATTGTTCCTGGTTTGGATCAGGAAAATGCCAAAGGATATCTGACACCTGACAGGGACAAAATGATGTTTCCCATGCCATTTGCTCTCTTCTTTGGTGGGTGCAGAAAGGAAAAAATTACAAGAATCCTGCTGAGTTATTCTCATAGGTGCCTCCCATTCAGGTTTTTGCAACACCAGCATTGATGGAGAGCACTTATGAATTTCACATGCCAGTCACAGATCAGGTGTGCACTTTAAGCAATCTGTTTTCCTATCCATGTGCAGGGATTTGCAAACAGTTCTTCCCTTGTTGTGCATCCCTGTGTTGTGTGTATATGTAGGATAGACAAATAGCATAAACCCTTAAAAGGATTTTAGTATTATTAGTAATTACAGCTGAATTTTGCTGTTGTTTATTTCCTGTAGTACCCACCATGTGCTACACACATTTCAAACACTTGGAATGTAAGGAAGACAATACCAGCTCATCATCTAAGGAAACTGCCTTCCTAACCACTTCCAGTTGAAATAAAGCCTTTTTAACCTGAAAGACTTTCAAGTTTATTCTGTAAACAGTAGCCCACAAAATGTGGTGGATTTTAATTGTGGCTGTTTAATCATCATGATTATTATTATACACCACCATATGGTATTTAAAATGAGAAAGAGTTAAATGGGAGAGGAACCCACTGCATTTTTTGGCTGTGAATTAATGCAAAACATGAGGACTGGTTTTAAGGTTCAAACAGATGCTGCACTGATTTAGGAGCTGGTCCCATTTTCACTAAAATCAGTGACCAAACTTTAGTTGACATCAGTGCAGCAAAATTAAGCCCATAAGGAGGTCTTCCTACCTCCTGGTAGCCAGCATATTTCAACTCACCATTTATTTTCTCTGACACATGAAACTTGATGTCTTCCTTTCATACAGTGAAGGCACCTCTTCAAGAATGAGTTACTGTCCAGTTTCCTTTGCTTCTTATAGGCAGTTTTCCTGTGTTCAGGTTGGGTAATGTTCATAACTATCTACCCCAGGGAGACATTAGGACTTTCTCCCTTCTATATATTTCCATCCTAGTGCCCGTGATATGATGCCATGAGGCATCTCATTCAAGAGATTTGAGATATGATTCCTTCCTCACTTTCCTTGAGTGCAGACTAGGGGTAACTTAAAATGAATTTAGTGGTGCAAAAACAGTGCAAGTGACTGGAGAATCCATCCTCAGGTGGCATTGATAACTTTGGAGCTTATTTCTATCAGTCAATTCAATATATTGCTGATGGGTAAAGCCAAGTTACACTCTCATCATGAACTTTTCCTTGTAGCACTGTCTCCCATGATGAATGAAGGTGACTTACCCTGCCTATCAGCTTATGGTTGGAATCCATTGTCATAGTCGTTCAGTGGTTACCTGCTGTATGTTGTGAACCTCAGAGCACATGCAAATGAAAGGTGTCATTAAAACACAGGGTCACACTCTCTCTTCTAAGTTCCACTTGTGCATCTAAGTCAGAATCCACAGAGCTGCACAGGTCCCACCTAGAAAAGAAGTTGGCCATGATTGTTTTGTCTCCTGTATTTTGAAATGCAAGTCAATGTCTTGACCAAGAACTTTGGTATAAATGAAGAGCAACATCCCAGAGAAGCATGGTTCTGGGTGTCTCTGCTGCTTTCTGATGCTAAAACTATTGAGGCATTTGTTGTTTAAAAGTTATGCTGTCAGATAATTAACGCTATTGTACAAATTGCAGACGAGGTCCTGGCACAGATAAACAGTGCTCCATTTAAGTTAAGGGAGTCAGCTGAAGGTCTGGCCCAGTTTTGTTTTCATAGCTATGTTCTATAAACCCGTTTGGAGTCCAGCTTTTTTTAGTAATATATTTTATTTCCCTGGGTGTGGTAGCAGAGCAATTAGATTATCTTGCTATTCTCCAGACAGGGCTTTGCATCCTTGCCCAAATTCATGCCAGCTCCGCTGCCCCTGTCCACCATCTGTAAATGGGTACCTGATCCCTCAGGCTAGGGAGTCAAAGGCAGCAAGGCACAGTGCTAGCCACATGACCCTGTTGTGCACTGCTGACAAGAGGAACTGGTGTGCCTTAATCACTCTGGCCCTTTGGGTCACTAAGCTCAGGTGGCTCTTTGACCTTGGCCTTGCCCCCTCTCCCTCCCCCCGCCCATCCCAAATCCTGCGACAGCATAAGTCCTCCTTAAAACAGGTGGAGAGTTTTAGTTGTCCTCCCTTTTTTCTTTTATAAACAACTGTCAGGACTGGGAGGAAGAGAAATCATAAGAAGGGGTGTGCTTTGTCTTGCCAAGCTTGCACCATCTTTGGTTTGAGCAAATATTTTGTGTGCCAGGCTAAGAAATAATTATTTAACCAAACATTAATTCTGATTTGTCAGCAGAGGCCTTCAAAAATGCAGTGTCAGATGAAAGAGAGTAATTACAGAGAAGAGCAAATTGCTGAACCATTTAAAAATATATTAAAGAAGCATAATTACCAGTCAGACAGACAGCTGCCATTTAGGAAATCCAGTCCTGTAGGGCAGGACTGTTGCTCAGCTCACTAAGTTGAATGCTAAGGAAATCAGAGACTACTTAAGCTGCTGGAAGCTAAGTTCTATCATGTCAAATGCTCCCTTTGGCTGTGTAACACAGAAAAGAACAAAGCTTAACAAACGCTCATCTGAATACTGCAAGCACTTTTCATAACTTAGTAGGTTTGACATAATGTTTCCCTAAGTGTGGTTTAGATGGAGGTGATCCTGCCTTGAGCAGGGAGTTAGAGTAGATGACCTCCTGAGGTCCCTTCTAGCCCTACTCTTCGATGAGTCTGAGTAATCCTGTTGAAATGGAGCCATCTAGGGGTATATGGAAAAGTCCTGCAATGTGTTACAACAAATAATAGGAAACGCGGTGTTTGCATGATGGGAGCCTTGGGTGCTATCCATACAAGAAACACAAGGAGGAGGAAGGACACCTTGGAACCATGAGTTATCATCTCATTTATCCAAGGAAGCTAATGTGCAGACTACACTTTCTGTGTCACTTAGTGTGCTGTTCTTCAGCACAGCTCCTCCTCTTCATACTTTCAGCTATTGGCTTTTCAAGTCAAAGTAGTTTGCCTTGGTCAAGGTCAAATCCAGTACACCTGCCATAGGAAGGACTTCACTGAATCACAGGGGAAAGGGACAGGGGAAGATATTCTTTCTCTAGCTGTTTATTTCTAAAGAAGTTGCCACTGCAGTGGATTGATAAAAGGATGAGGACAGCAGGAAGACTGCAACGGTTTGAACACCCAAGAGTGTGGTTGGCCAAGAGGAAGGCGGCCAAGCTGGGAATGGTGCCAGACCATTTCAGGTCCACTGCTGTGGGATGTACCTGTTCTCACTGGGTTTTGGGGGGTTTTTTGGTTTGCTTCCAAAGTTCAATATGTTTGTTCCTTGTACTAATGTTGGTCTTTTCCCTTTCTGCCAGTACACCTGTAAATTACTGTCTAGCAAGGTTACTTCTGAGGTACTTTTCAACTGCTTATTTTTGCTTTCTCTTGCATGGTGGTACCAGGTGCATGTGGCTGCAGTTTGCATTTCCATGCTGAGTGTCAGTGCTGTCTCGCATCAGAAATGCGGTGAGGGCATGTATGTCGGGGGCATATTCCCTCTGATTCATCATGTACACCTTTTTGTTTTGCTAGTGCTGGAAATCTAATTACAATTTTCAGAGGTGAGAAGATTGTAATTAGAGAGATGGGACCAAATCAAAGTCTAGGATCAGAACCTTCTTCAGTCCTGATTTACATGTGACCCTCTCAGCTGAGCCCTTCTCTGTCAGGGGTAAAACAAAAACCCTTGGTGCATTCATCTCTAGACTTTGAGGAATTGTGGGCCCAGCTTGAAGTGCTGTAACTCCTCTGCATCTGCAGTGACAGCGTGTTCAGTAATATCAACATTTGAATTCTGAACAAAGTATCCTCTTGGACAGCTTTGTTTCAACTTGTGGATTCAGATCACAAATGAATGAGTTTGGTGGCTTCATCACTGTCCCTATATTGAGTAGTTTATCTACATAACAATATGGTGACCACAGACACCACATGATTAAGTATCATTGGTAATCTGTGCAAAGAAAAGACCCAGAGCTGCAGATGCAGGGGTGCTTTAAGTCGAACATGAAGTGTTTGAGAAGAACTTCTGGGGAGGAAAAGCATACAGAGCCTGTATCCCTTGAAACATTGGCTTTGAACACACTGTTGTTCCTTCATTTTTAAGAGCAGAAGCTGAAATCAATTAAATATTTTGCAATACTAAAATATTACCATTTGTTATGTAGCATGTGTCCCAGGAATGCCAGACAAGATTTTCTATGTGTGCATGTGCTTCTGTTTGTATCCTCTGAGCCTCAGAAGGGAAACAAATAGGCACTTGTGTCTAAGAAGTATTCTGCCATCTAGGAATACATTCTGGTGATTGGCACACACATCTCTCTACTCTACAAATCTCTGCAACAAATCTTGAGCCCACCCAACCCTCCCACACACATGCACACTCTCCCAAAAATGGGTATCCACAAAAAATCCCTTGAGATCAAAGGGGGAA